GTATAAGAGACAGCCCCCCACCCCCAGATCCCCCCCGTCAGGGCTTGCCAGCCCTGGGGACCAAACCTCTGGGGAGTCATCTGACTCCTATCAAACCCAGAGAAGGCTGAGATGAGCAGATGCCCCCAAAGGCATAGTTTCCTTACTTTTTTTTGCTTAAAACATTCCTCAGCAGAGGACGACTGTGCCCAAAACAAGCACCTGCAGAGGAACACTAGAGTCTGCTGCAGCAGCGTCTGCAGACTGACCTGCGGGTGAGCCCCGTGCTCTGTGCTGGAGGATTTCTGACACTGCTGCTGCTTGAGAGAGGAGTTGGACAACCGAGACGAGGTCTGACCCATTTCAAGACCTGCCCTGAGATGTCTGGTATCTCCAGTACCTTTCTGGAATTACAACCGTGGATTTGGGTCTCCTGCATGCAAATAGATTTTGCCAGCAGCACTCTGGATACCTGCTGCTTTGTTTCTACCTGAACTGGCTGTGCTGGGAAAAAGGGGCATTCCCAGGAGACAGAGGCAGGTTTTGAGGAAAGCTGTGTGATGTGGGAGGCCTGGCCACAGCCTCGCGCTGTGGGAGCACCGACCGTACCTTCGAGTCCCACGCAGATGGGAGGGGGGGGGCTCCGCTGCCAGGCCACGGCAGATGCGATTCGGAGGCGAAGGGGTTCCCGTGCGAAGCGGCGGCGGCCCAGGCGTAATGCGGCTGCGCCCCGTAGACGGCGTGAGGAGCCCACGTGTCCTCCGGGGCTCGGGGCTGCGGCGGAGGCCCCTGCGCCGTGACCCCCGGGCTGCCGTCTCCGTATGGGTACTGCGGGATGGGCATTCCCGGGGTCTGCGAGAAGAGGGGGGGGGGGAACAGGAGTTACCCCTGGAGTCACTCCGAGCCCTGCTCCCTCCAGGCAGCACTGGAAACAGCTGCAGCCTTGGCCTCGCTGCCTGATTCCTGCTCTCCTGGCCCACGAGCTTGGAGCCTCTGGAGAACAGGGCGACCACCAGTTTTTATAAGACTAGAACCAGGCAAGGCAAGCTGCTCAGGGCACAATGGCCACCAGGACCCACGGATCCATCGGGGGAGGCACTGGGGGCTTTCCCTCCTCTGCAGCCCCGTAAAACAACTCCTTGTGCCCCAGGAACTGCAAACCTAGCAGTTGCACCAACACCGGGGCTGGAAATTCCTGTGGCCAGTGCTTGGCCTCTTACCTGCGGTGGGGAGTAGCCAGGAACCTGCGGCCTCCTGAGAGAGGACCCTTCGGCGGGGCAGTCCGGCGTGGCGTAGCTCCAGGGGGGAGCTGGCGACGGGGGCCGGTACATGCCCGCAGACTCCACCAGGTAGGGGGGCTGCGGGGGCCCCGAGCAGTAGTACCCCCGTGCCTGTGGCAGGCCGGCGTAATGCGGGGCAGCGGGAGCCGGGGGGTACGGGGGGCTGTAGGCTCCGTTGGCGTAGGGAGAATCCATTGCCTGGGGAAGAGGGAAGAGCAGAGGAAAGGTGACGGCCGTGGGGAGGGGCAGAATGTCCGGCCCAGCAGCAGCCAGGGGAGAGGACTGGCCCTTCCTGCGGCGTTTTTGTCCTCAGGCAGATCTGCCCCGGTTTTAGGTTCTGCTCCAACACAACGTTGTTGGCCGTTGCCAGTAAACACCCGTCTGGCTGAGGCTTTGCCCCTGCAGCACGTGCGGGCAGGCGGGAGCGCGGGGGCCTTACAGGGGGAACGCGTTTGTCTGGAGGGCGGGAAGAGAGGGGACACTAAGCTGAAACCCACCCGTCACCCCGCTAAGCTTCGCCCACAGACAGGCGCCCGGTGCCTCACAGCAGGCAGCTCTGAGGAGGTTCAACCACGTCGGTGTAGTCACCGACCAGGGGGTGAAAACACGCCAGGAAAGTTCCTTTTTCGGTCTGCAAACAGAAACGATGCGAGCGGATGGGATCTACCAGTGCTGGGACCTGGGGAGCGGGTGTTCGGATCCCCCGTGGGAGCCGTCGGGGTGAACTTGACCCAAAGGTCTGTCCGGCCACCTGAACGTGCTCCCGATGGACATCGACCGCAAGTTCCCGTCTGACCACGGAGTGACAAGTTCGCACCAGGAGCTCGCGGGTGATCCCTGGAGCTTTGGGCAAAGCTGTTTTCTGCCTGCGAGCTTCTTCACGGCGGAGAGACCCCATCCCCCGCGGGCTGGGAGCTGTGACAGGCCCGGATCAAACCTGCACGTCCCGCAGGATTAAAACAAAGCGCGGTTCTGCCCGGGCAGCAGACGGGCTCTTTGGAGAGAGCAAAGCCTTTCTCTCCGCCCAGTGTTTGTGCAACGGCCCCTAAAAACAGCTGCTGCTGCGATAAAACTGATAAATCACAGACCCGGTGCCTCTGCCCCCCCCTCCGTCCCGCCGGAGCGGCTGCGGTGGAAATGCCGCCGCCCGCGGGGCTCCGCCGTGCCCCGACCGGGGGGGACGCGGCTCC